GAAGTTCGGCTCTCAAAGCTTGCATTCCTTGGAGAATTTGCCAGGTAAGCTCCATGCCTTATGTATGTATGTATGTATGTATATATATATATATACACATACTTGCGGCAATGTGTATATATATATATATATAATGGGGTAACGGGGTGTGCATGATGCGAAAGCAGAAGAGAAACACGTTGACCACAATGCGGTGCAGCTGGAGCCTGCAAGAGTCTAGTCCCCAACCCTTTTTGAAACTGGTCTGCAGCGACTCAACATGCAAAAACCGAAAGCAGCACAGCTTATCCGCAAGCTACCAGCACTAGCTCAAAGCCCTATAAAGCCTAAAAACCCAAGACTGCACTGAGACACAAACCGCAAAGGATTCGTCACTGCAGTCTGTATACTACGAGTCGGTCGCACTTCGCCCTTCTGCCTTACATGTGTATACATATATGTATATATACATATGTAGGTCTGTGTACATATTATATATAGAAATACATACCTCTGTGTGTATATGTAAGTATGTAATGCATGCATGCATGTATGTATGTATGTATCTATGTATACATACAACCTTTCACACACACACATATATATATATACACATGTTTCTCTATAAACACTAAGAATACGTATTATGATATGTTACATCATGTGATACAGCACATTAAACTTTATCATAGTGCACCATACTGTGTCATACTCTAATGACTCTAGTACATTCTTGTATCACATTGCATTGCATGATATGGTCCTCTAACTTGTTATGTTATCAGACATTATATCATATCATACTGCATCCCTGTGTTTGACATGTTTTGTGTGCATGTGTATATATATATATACATATACATATACGTAACATGTGTGTTAATATGTGTATATATATATACAATTGCATGTATGCATCGACCTGTACATATTTATACAGCCTTCTTCATTCAGTCCTTCACTCATGCATGCCAATTCCTTTCCTTTCATTTGGTTTAGTTCCATGTCACCATGTCATCGCATGTCATCTCATTTCACTTCGCCTCATCTCATTACATGTCATCTCCTTTTGCTTCTGCTTCAAGTCGTTCCATTGCATTTCATGTCATTTCATTCCCTGATTTGTTCATTGTGTCGCATTTCTTTGGGGATCACCGCACGGCGCTTTGTTCGTCATCATTCTATTCTTTCATCCTTCCGTTGATTCATTCATTTATCCAATCAGTCAGTCCATTCCATCCATCTTCCGTCCATCCCATTCATATGACCCATCCATCCATGCATGCATCTATTCATTCATCCATTCCATTCCATTCCACCCCACTCCATTCCATTGCATGTCATTGCATTTGTTCCACTCGTGTGTTTGTAATCATCTATGCGCGCCTACATACACACACACATATCTATACCGAAACCACAAGTACTAAAACAAAAAGGCTACAAACTCCAGGAAGAGCTTCGGTCCATGCAGATGCTGGCACAGGAGGAGACTGCCGACTCGACAGCCTTCATCCTGTGCTTCAGCACTTTGGGTTAATGGGTTTTAGGATTTTATGGTTACTTTTCAGCGCTTTGGGGTGCGTCGCTTTTTCGCTGGGACCTCTGGCAATTTGATTGCGACTCGCAGGGGCAGAGGTCGTTGTTTCGAGATTTCAAGAAGCTCTATGTCAGGCGGCGGGGGGTCTAGATCGAAGACGCCAACGCCTATAACGCCGGCACGTGAAGAAATCTGATGGCTATTGACCCGAAACCCTTATATAGTCATCCTTGTAGTTCTAGCTATAGTAACCCGTACAGTGCCGAAATCTAAAAATCTAAAACAAAGCAAGACGGGAGGCATCTCGGCCCTCATCTCCTGCCTGGGCAGCCGTGAGGCGCAGGGCTGCGTTCGTCCTACAGAGCCTCACACCCTACCTCCCACAGTCTCCATTGAGTTCCCGTTTTGGGTTACCTTATAGTATATAGGATCCTACAGTCTCCATTGGAGTTCCCGTTTTGGGTTACTTTATAATATATATCCTACTGTACATGTCCCGGCGGTTTCGCATCAAGCCTCGCGATGAAAAGTGCAGAGCCTCACCTTCTGCAACTAAGCCCGCAACAACCTGAACACAGACTTCGGACGCAGTCCAAACAGTCTTCGGATTGGCAGCTTGTCAGCAAACTCTTCGCATGCTTATGCTATAGATTCTGTAAGGAAGGACTTCCTGGAATTCTGTAAGGGATCCCTCTCCGAAGACGCAGTGACTCTGGTACCAAATCCAAACACTTATCCTTATAAGTGCAAGTGCGTGTATATCTGTATATACACATGTAGTCAACAAGCTACATACAATCACACAGAATCAAAACGCACACACACACACACACCCGCGCGCACACACGCACACTCACGCACGTGACCATTTCGTGTTTCGTGCACGACAGACCATGTGACTGCAAATATGTAAGAGTATGCGGAACAGTAGCAAGTAACACGCAGGGGCAACAGCAACAACAACAACAACAACAACAGCAACAGCTTCTCCAAGGCTGCAGCCACAACAGACGAAACAGAATCATACGCACGACGTGCTCGTGCTGTTGAAGATGCTGCCCTCCCTCCGAGAACTACTGATACTTGTCGTTTGCTCTCCCATTGCTGCAGGTTACGATGACAACCATGGCGCCACAATGACATTCCAGTAAAACCATCGCCAATATCAACAGCCACAGAGGGCTTTCATGCCGACTGATGGCTCGCCTTGCAGCCGTTTGGCTGGCATGTCGTCAAGCCCATAGGCCATGAATGGTGCAACCCCCACACCTCCCTCAAGTAGTGCGAGCTTTCTTGGTATACGGTCTCTAGAATCTAGAGGAAATATATTTTGCCTACCTTCTAAGAGAACTCAGAAAGCATTAAGAGCCTCAAACCCAAATCCTAAACCCTAATACACACATATCCCAGACCCGATCCTCAACCCTACCCTTACCCTCCCTCATCCCAAGCCCGATCCTGCACTGCAAACTCAGCCTCCTTCTGCTTGGGGCTTTCGGGTCACCATGGGCGCTCAAGCCAGCTGTGAGTGTCCGGAGACTCGAGACGGACCTGAGGCCGAAGTCTGCCAGGCTGGAGAAAAGCGAGAGAGGGGCATTCTAAGAAGGGGCCCTTGTTTAAGAGGGTTTGGAGTTTGGAGAGCATGCGATGTTTTTCGGTGTTAAGATTTAGAGCTTTCGGAGGTGGGGATTTGAAACAGGAGTTGGGGTTCCGGGATGGAAGAGTTTTGTCTGGGATGAAACAAATCTAGGGCTTTGCTATGGTTTGGGGTTGGGGTTTGGGCTTGAGGCGTAGAGTTGTGAGGATGTGGGGTTGAAGCCGGTATTTCGGGTGTAGCATCTACCTATAGTCTCCATTGTAGTTCCTTTTTTTGTTTAACCAATTATATATTAAGGGTTTTATAAGGTATCCCCAAAATGGAACTACAATGGAGACTTCAGGAAGAGGCCTAGGGTTTGAGTTGGTGGTCCATGGGTTTGTGTGGTTTGGGTTGATTGGAGTTCGGCTATGGTTCCATGCATCAAGCCCACTTCAGCGGGAAATGTCTGGAATCAGGTAAGGAGACCGGCAAGTAACAGCTGCTAAGAGCTGCTAGCAGTGAAAGCGGTGATTCGGCTTTTCCAGACAACTAGCAACACAGAACTCGGAGAGATGTAGTATAATCCAACGAGCCCTTGCTTCGTAAAGTCTTGAATCCCATACCCTGAACCCTCCCAAGTCCCCAAACCGCGAACCCCAAAGCGCAGAACCCTAAACCCTGAACCGAAACCACCAAGCCCAAACCCACCTTGTTGCAGGTCATCCAAATCGATGTCCCGTCGCAAAAAGCGAACCTCGCTTCGGGCTATGAGCGTCGCAACAGCCACAGCAGCATCCACAGCCTAGAGGCGCAACTCTCATGGGGGTGGGGTCCTAGGGTAAGTGCATAATAGGGTGCGCAGGGTGGAGTGTCTGGAGTTTAGCATTGGACAAGCCGGAGGTAGATGAGGCACCCGAGCGAATATTCCCGACATGTTCCTACCATCACAACGGTCCCAAAGCTCCGCATCCGACGTGAGCTTGGACTTCAACTGACTTGAACAGCACGGCCATGTCTTGCTGTTGCTCCGCAGACACATGGCCTGTCGCCTGTCGCGACAGTTGTTTCTGTCTCCGCTTTGCGGACAGCTGCAAAGTACACCGTGGTGAGACACGCAAGTTTGCTGGCTTACTTCGATCTCCCCCCCAGGCCTCAATTTTATGTAGGACTGCAAGACTCAATACAGGTGTGGTCGCCAGGTCTACGCGATGAAGCGATGGGATATTGTTGAGTTTGCGTTGCCGTTTACTGTAGTTGTTTGGATGATGCTCGCAGTATCTTTGTTGCATGCTAACCGTGCAGTTACTACCGATGCACTTGACACCGAGAGCAGCCTGTGGTGGCGCCGAGCCAGTGCAAGAATGCTTCCCCGTTTGAGCAACTTGATCCCGGAAGCAGCTTGTCACGACTGCAGAGACATGTATTGAAACATCTTGATGGGCCGGTTCTGAATATTTTGTAGGCGGCAGGCCCCATTTTTGTCCGAGTGGCGATCGTTGTTCGGCGATCCTTTCGGCCGGATGCCCCAGCTGCATCTCCCGCGGAGTGCAGGGTTGTTGGTATATATGTCTCTAGTTACGGGTAGCATCTTTGCGCGATGATGCGCTTGATTTCGAGTGCCCTCACGGTCTTTGTAGCCATGCTATGTGCTGTGCTTGGCGGCATCAGGTCGGAACACAAAGCAAGTCGATCCATCGGAAGAGCATCAACTGGGTTGGGGCATTGGGGCCTCTCCGTTGTCCGCAGTTCCGCGCCTTGTGTGGTAAGGGGGCACGGAGACCACCGCTCCTGCCAAGACTAGGGCGTTCGTTCAGGACTTCGCCATGCCTCAGTGGGTCCATCATATCTGGGGGGGGCGAGCCTCGAAGCCCAAAAATCAAAGGCACAACTGCCTTGATGCAGGTCGTGCCGCGGTGGAGCCGTGAATCTGCTCTGAACGTCGACCCGGCAATCATGCGAGCCTTTGCCCGGAGATGTCGGGAGTTTGGGAGTCCAGGGCCACAGTGGACTTCCGCCCCCTTTCAATTCTGCTGCTTCTGCTACTTCTGCAACTTCTGTTCTTCATCTTCACTCCACTCCCCAAAGAGCCAAGTACCATGGCAGGGCAGGGCGGTTTCGGAAACTCGTGAGCAGCCCAGTAGCTCATGGTGGCTAGGGGAAGCTGGGGGACATCGGGCCCGATTTTTGGTGCATGAGGGGGCAACACTAGTCACGATGAGTAAGTAATTACAGCTTACACGGTCCTACACCCTAGGCCGGTACTCGTCGAACAGTTCATTGGAGCCCCTTGATCACCCAAGGAGGGATCCCACTGAAAGAGACTCTTCGATGTGGAGGGCGCCTGTGGCGATGGTGCCCAGCTGATCTTCCCCAGAAGGAGCCTCGTACAGGAGCACAGCACATCACAGAACTTGTGTTCTATCGAGGAGTTGCTTACACTTGTCCGTCGAAGTGGGTGCCGAATTCAACTGTTGACAGCAGTGAGGCCATTGTTGCGGGGTGTGGAGCCCGAAAACTCTCCAAGTAGACTTGAGGTTTAGGAGGGCCTCCGCGAGATATTTCTGCTTCATCTTAATTGCATGACAATGCTGCTGCTCTATGCTGCGTACCGTTCAGCAGTCGGTTTTCGATCAACAGCTTATCTAGCCTCGGATTCGCAAGATAGACAGCCCAGGGAAAGGCGTCATTATGGCAGCGTTCAAAGCCAACGACGCGATTCGACATCTTCTTGTCCCACACGTGGGTTGCCTGGCTACGTTCAGCCCTGTATCAAGGAACGTCTGTGATTGAGCTTAAACAAGATGTAAATGCAAATCACTCGCCAGTCCTTCATGTGGGTCGTGGTTTTGGGAGCCTATGCCGCTTCAAGGTACTCGAAATACGAGCGTACCTTGGTGTAGTCTCGATGACCTTGCCTTTTCAGAGCTATATTGGGCTAATTACTAGTTTTGTTGCGATCAGAAAGTGGAAGCAGCAAGTGCGAGTAGTTCAGACACCCAGGGCCCATGGGGTTGTGGGCTTTGGAAACTCCGCCGATGCCCCATGCATCACCACCCCACCTCCCTGACCTTCCAAGTCGGAAACCCCGGAGTTGGATTCTGAAGCACCCACAACCCCCGCCCCCCTGCCCCCAGGCGACGTCAGGACGGTGGAAGTTCCTGTCCTTGTCCCTACAGCACCTTTTTCGCAGAGCGAAACTTGAAGCTGACAGTGTTTTGGGGAGGGGTGGCTGCGGGCTTTCCGCCTAAGCGGGTCCTCTCGGCTTCTTTGTCTTTTGCTGAATCGCTCTGGCTTCAGGGTCAAGGGGATCTGGGTTTCGGGCTTGGGCTCCTGGCATCTTTTGTGCTTGCTGGTTTCTCTGCTGCGCAGCCGCGTCCGTGTGGATGTGGAGCGCTGGCCGACCACTAAGTCTATGGCTAGACGTCTATTGCATCGGATGAACCTTTTTGTCACTCTTCCTACTTCAGCAGAAGTCAAGGAATCGCAGTATTTACGAGTTAATGGTTGGAGCCTCGTGTTGCCATACCTCCAATCTACCGGTGCCCGAGCTTAGTGCGGGGCTGCTATGCCACGTGCCCCGATGGTTTCCTCTATCGCGCATTGCTCTAGTACGATACAGCTCCACGGCCAATTCTTGTCGTAGACAACGTATACTATGGGTCAATCACTGTCTGGTGCTTAGTAGGGAATGGGGGAATGGATCCCTATGATAGTTCCTTAAGGTCCCTTATAGTAGTCCCTATCACCCATTCCCCCATTCCCTACTAAGCACCAGACAGATCAGTTCCGATAGCTTAAATCTGCAGTACCTTAAGAACCCAAAACCTACTTTTTTGTAGGGTCCCTATAAATCCCATATTAGGGTTTATAATAAGAACCCTTTTTTGTAGGGTCCCTATAAATCCCATATTAGGGTTTATAATAAGAACCTACAAAAGAGTGGGTTTTGGGTTCTTAAGGTATGTTGCACTTGTGCTGGTGTGGGCCGTTCTCCGAGTTCTCGTAAGGTTGGGACAATATATGTGCTGCGTCGTGCTCCAGCATATGTCTATGACATAGGCTCACCGCCCAGTATCTTTATGTATGCTGATGCTGTGGCGCCAGTAGGCACGAGATTCAGTATCTTACTGTCTTCTGATATATATTTACAGAAGAAAGTGTGATGGCCTCGAGGTTTGGCTGGCGACACGTCCTCCTGACGTGGATCATCGTTGTCTTCGTCGTAGAGGCTCTCACGCTTTTGGACGTCTTGCCTATGTATTTCGTGTATGAGGCTTGGCTGCGATTTCACAGGCTCGAAGCGCACAAGAGGCTCCGGGTGCCAAGCCGACATTCGGACTTGCAGCCTGTTTCTGGCTCCGATCTCTGACAGAGATCTTCAGGAGACCGTTCTTTGGTTGGGCAGTCTCGCAGGCTTCACACTCCCAGAACTTCAAGCTTGCACCAACCCAGGAGACATCCATCAACGGCGAAAGGCTGCGGTGCCCCTTCGGTGGCTGGGCCCTCTACATTGGCGTCACGATGCTCGGCCGTGATCAGGAACTACAGCAGTGGGTGCCGGCGTGATGGCACAAGCAGCATTCTCACATCGCCAGTGCTGCACTACCGAAGCACTGAAGCAGGAATGGTACGGCTGGTACTGATATAAACAGCAGAGGGAGATGCAGGCGGAGGAGGAAGGAGGAGGAGGAGCTTCAGTAGTGTGGTCGTTAGTTTTCGCAACCCAGCAGTAGTAAGTGACAGTGACCGCCAAGACGTGGGCCAGAGGTGCGTGTAGTGCTAGTGCCAACCCAAGGCCTCCCGTGTAGGAATCACCACATCTGAATCCTCATCTGCACAGTAAGCCACGTAAGCGAAGTAAATTTGGGCAACAGAGTATCTGGTGCAACTGCCATCCTAAGCCCTCAGCCACCCTCCCTCCAAGGATGTCCATGTTCGCTCTCGTCCTCGCGCCCTATGGCCCCGGCTTCTGCAAGCATCAGCTCTGCTTCCTCGAAGCTGGGCCTGCCTTCATTTCTCTGGCTCCAATTCTTAAGGTATCCGGTTCTAGGAGGTAACGGCTTTGTGGTCTTGTGGTGCCCACCTAAATTTCCTAGTTGCCTCGAGTCATCGAGATCAGTGCCCGAAGCCTCTGGCCTGGCCACTTGAGAACCCATAAGCCTTCCGTTCAAGGATGTCGTGAGCATCAACCAACTGGACGAAGAGATGATGCAGCAAGGGATCTACGGGCTTGGAGGTCGGGAGTTGTTTGGCGCAGATTCTTTACATCGTTTGTCCGCTTCGTTAGATTAGGGGCAGGCTACTGAAAGGCGAACACGATTTTGAATTTCTCGTATCAGCCTTAGCAACTAGGTTATCTTCATGCCCAGAGACGCACGCAAGGGACACTCATGTGCAGAATAAGTTCTGTGGCTTATACATGCCATTCGTACCTAAAGATCAGCACCGACCATGGTGTCGCAGGGCGAGGCTGGTAAAAAGGAAAGGCTGGATCATGCACATCACTCGGCATTGAGCACAATTAGGGCTTCGAGCATGCTACATAAATCAAGAAAATACCGTCCCATCGCGTTCCAGGCATAGCATAGCAGTGCACCCTTCAATGCAAGTGACAGTCCTAGGCAGCCAAGACCCACTGATCTGACCGCCTCTTGCGTTTTGGGAGGCTTTCTGAGCGCATCGAAAGAGCATCTTGTCTTCAGCAGAGTCGCGAGGTTGGGCTCGGGTCTTTTGAAGCCTTCCGGGGAGAACTCGGAGTAGGACTGGAAGGTCTTGAGTCTCGACATTCCCATTTCCGATCCTCCTGTCGTAGCCCACGGCGGGAGACCTTCTGAGGGAAGCAACTGCAGATTCTCGCAATGCGAGAGTTCAAGGGTTAGTGTTAGTGAGTGCACACAGATGGCGTGTGAGCGGAGGCAGCAGCATCAACTTGGTGACTGTCAGATAGCCCTACACTTCCGACCGTTTGAATGGCTTGTCGCGTGAGCCGCGTGTTGGACAGGTGGCAGACCACGTGAACAGATTGTGACTGCGTGCTCTCAGTGTTGGTGCTGCTCCCGTAGAAACGCAGCTTTCACCTAGAACGACCGACCAGCTAACAAACGAATCGACAAAGCATCTACTGGAAACTAAGAAGGTACAACTCTCCCATTATGTCACTAACTCAAACATGCTACCACGGCTATTCTGGCTCCTCTTCGTTGAGCACCTCCACCACAACCGGCAACAACAGAGACCTCCAACCCGGAGAGACACCAGTACTTGCAACAGCTCGCGATTATGGTCGCATTTTAGTCTGAATGAAAGTCTAAAGTGTCATTTCCACGACCGCTGATTCCAGCAATCCCGAGCTGCACAAGCACAGCAAGCTTCACAGCCAGGCAGAAGAGGTCACTCCAAGTCTGATCGGTGTGTGCGATGGCTGCTCATGGCTGTTTGCTCTCAGATTCTTCTTGGTGCAGGAATGCCACTCAGGAAGGAAAGAAATGCTTGTGTTTCAAGCATGGTCCAGCAACAAGATCGCATTCCCACGGTCCAACGGCTGCGCTTAAACCTCCTGCATTCAATGCTAAACTCTTGAACCTCTGACCTCAAATCGAAGAATTTGATTTAGTTCAACCCTTGGCACTGAAGCCTCAACCCTAAATTGTATATGCCCCACCCATACAATTCAAAAGACAGCAGCCTGAACCCGAAAGCCCAACAAGATCGAGGCTGAGGATCCTCTGGAGCCAACCCTACCTCTCGAGGCAGGATCGCCAATCAGGGGCTTACTAATTAGGGTTTAGGGTTTAGGGTTTAGGGGAGACCATACCCCAAATTTGCCAACGCCTGATTCCAGGTATTGAAGCCCCGTTCATTACCCTCTTTTGCCTGTGCAAGCTGCTGTAGATCCTGGTTTTCTATGTGAGGTATCCTTAGAGGCGCATGGCTTTTCCCGATGTCCTGAACGAGCGAAGCGTGAACGAGCCGAGCGGGGGCGTTGTTTCAGTTCTTGGCCATGTTGGGAGAACGGATATGGCGCATCATGGCAGGCTGTATCCGTGCAGTATGCATGCATACATGCAACCTATGTAGCTATGCATGTATGTGCGCACGTACAGACAGGCGTGTAGGTTGGTGTACGTGAATTCGAGCAGCGCAGGTTGAGAGCTTGTCTGAAGCGCAGCAGGCCTTGAGAAGGCCAAGCTTTCCCCATTTGCCCAATAGTTCCTCCGACTCCTCCGACTCCTACTCCTGCTGCTACGGCTACGGCTACTGCTACCGCTGCTCCAGCATGCAGGCTTTGGTGCGTCTTCGAATTGGCAGCCTTTCGAAGCTCGGAGATGTGCTTCGCATAGGCTTTCGATTGAACATTTCTCGAGATGGCTGACTTACGGTTCGTTTTGTCTGGGATCTTCATGCCCGATAATCCCCGGCAGTTGGTTTTATCAGATCTTGAGGCCTTCGTGCGTCGTTTCTTGATGTTTCCCACATGGTAAGTCTCTCCCAGCCCTAAGTTCCTCCACTGCACCACTGTCACCCTGAACCCGTCCAACAAAGCTTCAAACCCTCGTCATTCTGAGCCCAGAGCATCGCAGCCCAAACCTTAAGCCGAAAGCTTGCAAAAGGAACCGCCAACCCCACGGGGAGAATCAACATGGCGCCCCTACATGTCGAAGCGCTGGTTGCTACAACCTGGGTGGGCTGCTGCTTGCATTTATCAAGATGTGGATGTAGGGTTTTGGGAGGTAGGGGTTTACGAGTCGGGCGCATGGCCTACATTTGCATTTGTTTTTGGGCGGTAGATGCTGTGTTTGATAAGGCAAGAATTAGTTGGCTCGCTGAAGAAACAAGAAGACAACCGCAAAAGTGCCTGCGTTGCAGGGCATCTTGCTTCAAAGCACGAGAAGGAGAGGAACAGTGAGCAGAGTAGAGCACCTTGAGAGGTTCAGGAGGGCCGTTCTAGAGCCTCCGGGTCTGCAAGGTGCTCGCACAGTTTTGCCCGGGCCTCCCCTTGATTCATGAACTTCACAGTGATGCAAAAGCTGAGGCTACATGCTGATGTTGCCTCTGGTTCCCTCCCTGTCGGCAAGAGGCAAATCTGATTCTAGACCCACTGTCAGGGTTTGGGTGATTGCGCATGAGAGTGTGTCCCTTTAAAGACACAGTCCCAGCCAAAGTTCCCACAGCTCAGGTTTTTTTTCCAGGTAGCTTTCGAGAGAGATGAGCTGTGGGAATCCCAAACCCTGCAATAGGCTCAATAGGCTGCTGAACCACGGAACTCTGAATTTACTGCGTAAAGAATCCCAAGCCCGAAGCCACTTGGATCTTCCTTTCTCATGCGGATGCTCATCAGCTGTTGATGCCGTCTTGACAACGAACGTAGAACGATTGAAGACCTGGAAGATGCCAAAGCTTGAGCAGGTCGGGGCATCCTCGCATTTCTTCCAGCCGTGATACCGGTCGCGGTGATCTTCCACATCTTCTGTCTGGTGCTTAGTAGGGAATGGGGGAATGGATCCCTATGATAGTCCCTTAAGGTCCCTTATAGTAGTCCCCATAACCCTAAACCCTAAAC